ACTTTAACAGCCTTCTCTCCCAGTATGGATAAAGTATGGATAGAATCTATCATCTGAATATCAGTGCTTTTTTTAAAATAAAATATTCACCCCGGTATTTAATTGTTGTTTACATAGTGATTATTTGCAAAGCTGAATTACTAGATGCATTCTAGAGGAAGAGGAACAATTTCTTGTCAGTTTACACTGCCGAGTATTTATAAAGATTACAGATTAACCACTACAGATTAACAATCTCCCCTACCCTTGCCCTTCTCCCCCAGCCCACGAATGTTTCTAATATTTACATGTACCGTTGGATAGTGTTGTTGGCTCAGAATGGCTGCTGCTTTCCACCCTCCCGGCGCTGCGTTTCCAATGGTGGGTGAGAAATCCCTACGGATGCAGTTTGTAAAGCGCTATGGCCCCTTCTTAGGAAAAGCACTATCTAAATAATATAAGGGATTGTCTTTATTATAATCACAACAGTGCTGATCATTGCACTAAGAGGAGTGGAGGAGGTAACATGGGCACCTAGACACACACACACACACACACACACACACACACACACACACAGGTGCACGGTAACACTTTCTTCCTCTCGTCCATGTCCCCCCTACTTCCTGGAACTTGGGTGTTGAAAGGACTGCTCCCCACCCCCGGCCCCCAAAGAACTCTGCCAGGTTCCATTAGGCTGCAGAAGCTTTCCAGTCTTCAACTAGTTGGCAAATTCACTCCCTGGTGTCTGTTTCAGATGATCCCCCACGAAGTCCAAACCCTCTTCCTGGGCCTACCGTGTCACTCAGCCTTGTCTGTACTTGAATGATCCTCAACCAGCTCTCCAAGTTACTGCCTCTCTGGGCCTTCCCATCCGGCCCAGAAGGTTGGCCCTGGAAGTTGGGGGGACACGCCTGCCACTTAAGGAGCTCCCCCCAGGGAAGAAGGAAGATAAAAGGCTGAAGTGGATACACACTTCAAAAGCAAACAGGAGGGAAAACAGAACTTTTCTTATAAGGCCAAATAAAACATCAGTGAAGGAAACGAAAATGAGTTGGCCTGCAAAAGCGGGGGGCAGAGCAGCCACGGGGCCACGGGGCTTGAAACCCTCTGCGTGGAGGGAGCGGTGCCACGGCAAAAGCCTGCTTTGGCAGCTCCTGAGTTCTCAGTGGCAGGAATAAGAACTTGTACACATGGGGGTGGGCAGCGGAGGGTGGGGGGAAAGGCACCCAACCCTAATAAACTAATCTCAGCTAATGTAATGTTTATCGAGTTCCTCAGATAATGATACCATGCATGTGATTATCATCATCAAAACCCAATCTATGTTTTAAAAAGTTGCAGATGATTAACACAACATCAAGTTGTTGCAAACAATTACTTAAAACCCACACACAGACACAGACGCGCACACACACATCCACACGCACACAGAACCAGGAGGTCCCCATATTCTGTAGAATGAGGGAGGCTGCAGCTGTAGGCCGACAGCTTTCATATCCTCATTTGAATAATGTGTCCTGAATCTGTCACTTTATTCATTCTCCTTATGCTCAGTGTACTCTACATCAACAACAAATTAAGTTGTAAATAAGAGACAATCATCACTTTTGTTTTTAAGCAGCTACTGCATAGAGAATTTCAATGTACGCTCCTTTCGACAGGGGGAAAAAGAGGTGTTAGAGTTTGCTTTCCTAAGCGCAAATATGGGGAAACCAACAGAAACAAAAACAGAAAACAGTTTACTGTTGCTGGAGGGAAAAAAAAAAATTCTCGGAAGCACACCCATCCAGGGCTGGCCGAAATTTCTCCCAAGAAGTGACTAAGACATACAAAGCGAGAGGCTAAGTTCCCACATCACACTGGAAACCCATATGACTTGGTACCAGCCTCCTGGTCTTAAGGGGCATCTTTGCCTGGCACGGCTTTTGACAAAAAGACAAGTGCATTGCATCAATTAAACACAGGTGTATTCATTTTCACACTCATCTCTGCTAACTTCCAAGAGTTTGAATCACGATCACATGCACAGAGACTGATAAACGACGGATAAAAAACGTCCTTACCTTCACATCGGAGAAGTAGGTCTTCAGCATATTTGAGCTGGGATAACGGGTATAAAAGAACATGAGCTTTGCTTTTTTCAAGTGATTGGGTGACAATCCTTCCTGCATGTAGGAGGCATTTAGTTAAGGAAAAAAAATGTCTTTAAACACAAGCACTCACCACCCACTCCCCCAAAGAACCTGGAGGCCCATCAAGCAGCTGAGATGGGAGGAGGGAGGGTGGAATTCCGGAAGGTCAATGGCACAGGCCATGGACTCCATCACTGCGCTGCTGCCCCTTGCTCCAAACGACTCCCGCTGGGCAGAAACTGCCAGGTGTAATGGTGAGGATGGACAACGGGGTTGCAGAAATCTTGACGGCTCCCTGGTGAGGATGGCAACACATTCCCCCTGTTCGCGGTCCTTATGCTCCCTATACATTCACTTGTTGCTAAGGAGACAAATGCACCCAACACGGATTGTACAACTCTTAGCGTGAGAGTTTTTTCTCCTCTGCAATTACAGTTGTTTGTTCTTCTCTCCCCACTCTGCAGTTTACATCAAGTTATTATCCTAATGTGCATGAAAATATAAAATGCATTATTTTGAACACTGTCAGGCAAGCTGCGTATTTTACCTTTTAGTGCTAATCTAATGGAGCATCTTGACTCACTTTCTTCCTATCTTATTATTATATCCTTTTAATTGTTTCCTTTTAAATAATAGCCACAACTTGGGAGGGGTAGTTTTGGCACAGAGGGCGCCGGGAGGGGGTGTCGCTTTTGTTAAAGCAACGATCCAAGACCAAATACAATTTGCCTCTCCTGGATTTATAGTTAACTCCTTTCAGAGTGGCACAGTGGCGGGGGCTAGCAAATCAATAAATGTGGGTTAGCAGATCAATAAATGGCCACTTACCCAAAATAAGAAGGCCTATTTATCTGGAAACATCATTACCTTTTAGATCTGTAAACAGCAGCAACTAAAACAGTTCCCAAGAGAATGTGAGGCTAACCATAACAATCCAGGCTTCCTGATTCTCCCCCAGATTCTTGGCAGTCCTCAGCAGACTCAGAGCTGGGATGGCTCTGGTCACATCTGTGCCGCAGCCTGGCCCTGCCATTTCCTCAGCAAATTAATGGCTTTATAATTTATCAGAAATGAAGATGCACGTGGAGAAAATCAATGTGGTCCCCCACAAGGTCAATTAAGGGTCCTTCCTAGAAGCTTCTCTAAGGATTTTCTCTTAAAAGAGAGTCTGGGAAAAATAAGGAAGAAAAGAAAAGAAAATCTGCACTTGTGTGTGCACACGCACACATCTTACCAGGCAACAAAAATGCCACACCTGGTGAAAAAAGGTAAAACAAACAAACAAACAAACAAAAAAAACCAACCTCATATTTAGGAAAAGTCAAGGTTTCTAAATGACCTCCATCAAGAACAGCATGACCAGTCTTAGGAAGAGAGAGAAAGCAGGAAGTTGGTAGCGACGCATAATCAAATTCATACTGATAAGCTCTAGACCACTTCTAGCAGGGTGTTGAACCAAATATTCTGCTGAGGGTTGGATCCATTCACATTCCCTTTAACATCATGCAACGTTTAAAAGATCACCTTGGTTTCTAAACAGAAAAGTTCAGTCTTGCGCTCCCCCCCCCCCCGCCCTCCCCACGGACAATACAGACTGAAGGAAGAAATTTCGATTTTCTGTCTGTGAGCCAAAGCAGCTTCACTGAACTTGTGTTTTTGTTTCAGATCCGTAATGATCACAAAGACGATAATTTATGACTGACATACTTCTTGTGCCAAGGAAAGAGCTGAAAGGCCCTCCAGTAACCTCCATTAGAACGGTAGAGAAGACTAAAGGAGCCCAGCACACTTCAGGACCATCTGTCCAAACGGGTAAGTGAAATAATAGTGGCAAGCTGTCTCGCCTTGCCTTGTGATAAGAGTTTTTAGGCAACTCCAAACTTCAGCAGACACTCTCAGATCTGGGTTCTAGTCTTTTCTTCAGATGGACAGATGAAAAAAACAACCTTGTACACTGAATTATTAGCAGGGGAAAAGTACTGAATGGTTAAAAAAAAACGTGGTCTCCTGCAAAACACCCTGTTTTGCTGTGGTTCTCTGAGATAGAACTACCAGAACTTCCTGACGCTTTCAATATGCTTAAATCATGCTTCGATGTTTTAGCTCTTTTTATTAAAAAAAAAAAAAAAAAAAAAAACAAAAAACCAAACACTATCCGTCTTATTTTGATCAGGATTTAGAGGCTTTTTAGTTCATGAAAAAAAATGATTCTGATTCCAGTGTCTCAAGTTCGTTTTGCTTTAAAATGTTTCCTGTTGGTAATACTTAGAATTGATCAGTTGAAATGGAACAGAGAATAAATCTTTATCTCTCGCTTGTCGTGTAATTAAGATAAAATTCCCATAAAATATATGTTTCTAATAAACTATTAAAAATAGCTAATGAAACATTTAAAAGCCAACAGTTAGATAATCCTTTTTTTTCCTCCTCAAAATAAATCTGAACTGACCAATTGGTTAATTTCCCTTTTAAGTGCTTGTGCTGAAAAGCAACTGTTCTTCCAAGAAAGCACTAGCTGTTTCCAGGATACTTACACACGCACAATGACTCATGATGGAATAGATTCAGTAAACATACAGCTGTACTGAACACGAGCTAAGCTCCATTCAAGGCCAGGAAAGAAAATGAGCACAAATAAATATTAAGGAGGTAAGGGGGGGATGGGGCGAGGGGGATGGAACGCAAACAAGATCTGTCCCAGCAGCTCATGTGGCTTTGCCTCAATTCTCTTAGCCATAGCTTTGTGAAGACAGATGACATTCAATTCTATGTGTAATGCAAAATAGACAATAACTACTGAAACTTGAGACAGATGCCAGGTGTAAAAAAAAAAAAAAAAAAAAAGAAAAGAAAGAAAGAAAGAAAAAAAAAAAAAAAAAGAAAATGAAAAAGGAAGAAAAAAAAGATGATAAATCCATAAATTAATGAAAGACATCTGCTCAGGAATAGAAAAGATCAGAGAAGTGGGTACTGCAGCTGAACCTAAGGGGGGGGCCCTCAAACAACCTGGGAATCTGAGTGTTGTCTGTTTACCAAGCTCAATATAACCTTACCTACACAGTCGTGGCAGGGGAGGAGCAGGGCCGCAAAAAGGCAAATGCAAGAATGCATTGTGAGTGCTGGAGGAAGGGGACTTCTTTTTTCCCCCTCAGCTGAACTCCGAATTGTGGCTAGAGATTTTACCAGCTGCACTTCCAACCGAACTGGATTGGGGCTACTTACTTACATTTTCTAAAATGCTCTGAAACCCAAAGAATTTTATCTGTCTCCTGATGCTCTCATTTGCTGTTTCCAAGAGGATTTCTCCCTCAAATGGGGAGAAAGGATCTAGACTGTCTCATTTAATCAAAGTGATAGAACACGCTGTTACTCCATTAAGAAGTTGAACTCATAAGATGTGTCACTTATGGAAATTAAAAAAAAAAGGAATTTACTGAATAATTTTTTTGGTGGGGTAAGAACCCAGAGTCTCTCAGTCTTTTGTGTAAATGTTTTCCCTGTAGCTCATGCAGCTAATAGAATCACTGTGGCTCCACAAGACTTCTAAAAATGTCTATGGATTATTTCACATATCAGAAATTCATTTTTAATCCATGTTTTCCAGTTAGATTTTAGTTTCAAATTACCAAACAATTTTCCTTTCCTAAACCTGAAGTGCTTTAAACATTCTCCCCCAAAGTCAAGTCGGGGATGCTGGCTGTCACAGGAAAGGGGCTCAGTTTCTCCACTGGTGCATCTTAAAGTCTCATAAGACTACTCTCCCCCTTACACTTGGGGGCATGCAAATGTCTGAGGCCCAAACAAGGCTATTTTTCTTGAGATGCAAAGAGGATGAATAACAAGGAACATCATGAAGAAAAACAATTGGCTGGCTGTTTCTTTTGGAATTTGAATAAAACTTAGTATTTGATTAAATAGATTCATTTGCAAAGATACTGAACACACACACACACACACACACACACACATACACACACGTATCTCTGAGACGCGAGCTCCTGGAGCAGGTGTACTGACATTGAGTTCCACAGGCACACATTCACTACTTCCTTTGGATTAGAAAAGGATAACGAGGTAGTGTGTTTATATAGATTACATAGGCTTCATGTGCTGAACTTAGAATGGATTTATCTGATAAGCTGGTGTTCTTAATAGTTCTTATCTTGGCTACTTTGTTCAAAGAAGCACACGATGCCCTTTGAAGTGGGAAAGAATCATTCCTTAAGAATTATATTATTCATTACTATTGGAAAAGCCACGACCACAAAGAAAAACATAATAAGGACAACCATAGAGGTATCATTTCATCCTTATTTCTACTCATGTCTATTGAATTTTTTTCTAGGAATAACTCGATGGTTCTAAGGCAGACTTATATACCTAAAACTGAAGTAGATGCCACAATCCAGGATTCCCAGAAGAATTCTTTCAACTAAAAGCTTGAGAATTTTGCCTACACACCATCGGGTAAGTCAAGGGAAGAACTCATTGCCATACAAGGATGGAGACAGGAGACCAGTGGACCCAGTCTCCCCAAAACACTCAAACCCTCATTGGCTTCAGAATCATGGGGATTATAGAAAGGGTTGCTTGCCTATCTTCTTCCCGAGAAAGAATGTATCAGTGGGATGAACGGTTAAAAGTACAGCATGATCGAGGGGGAAAGAAACAGAGGCTAGAAGGCCAAAAGTGGGACACGTAATCATTAACTGCGACAAGGGGCCAAAATTATTTAGCTCCATGAAAGAAACAGCTCCAGGTGTAAGCAACATTTCATACGAACACAGGTGTTTCCAAGCCATCCCTGTTCAACAGCCTCTTATATCGGTAGGAGAGGGACGTTATTCAGCTGAAGAAGCAACTATATTCTCCTTAAAGCCTTTGATATGTATAGAAATAAAAGGAACTTCTTTCTATTCAAATCCTCTAAATTCCTCAGGGGATTTAGAGAGCATGAGACAATGAATGTAGCCAACTCTTAAAGCAATCTAAAAGATTTTTTCCTAGAAGACCCAACTTACATTTAAAAAAAAAAAGGCACAGGCATAACGATCTGGTTATAATAAAAAGTCTAATAAAAAAAAACAAACCATAAACTGGTTAAAGAGTTTAGTGTGCACTTATGGGACTGTGAAACCTGGCTTTTTAAAAAATATTCCTCAAAATGGGTATGTCCCTTTCCTCTGAGTGTGTGTGTATGTGTTTGTGTGTGTGTATGAGAGAGAGAGAGAGAATGAGAGGAGAGAAACAACCCACCATCATGACTATAGCCTTCAAAATGAAGTAAGATAGGGTCTAGCAATAGGGTCTAGCCCTGGACCTCAGCCTTGCGTGTATCTCAGAAGATCCTCTTCCACCCAAGGATAGAAAACCATTCCAGGCCCTGCATCTTCTTGCCTGGCCTTTCTCATCACCGACACTATATGGCAATCACTTTGACCGATGTTTATTGCCTGTTTATAATGTGCAAGGCATGGTGCTTGGCACAGCTTTGATTCATGGCTGGTAGATTACATTTTAGGTCTTCGGAAAGTAGAAGTTAAATTAGCAACCAAGCCAAGACTCAATTTCTGTTTCTGTATCTAAGTCCTCAACATCTTTATCTTCCTTCCTCTCGTGACATTATTCTCTTCTTCCTCACAGTGGAAAGAGACCATGTTTCAGTGCCCCAAGTGGGTCTCATACTCGTGGCTCATCTTAGCAGACATCTTCGCTACTGTCCTAAGAGCTGGTTAGAAGAACGGCCTTCCCTACACAGAAAAATGTATTTCCACCATAGCTGGGACTTTGCACTTACGTGGCAGCGTCTGGAGTGGGCTTAGATCTTAAAATGTCAATCTCTAGTCATCAGGACAATTGCTCAAAATCCTCAATTTAGCAAGAGCCAACTTAATTGCTAAATTTTATGTCCATCTGGCAATTGATTATAAAAGAAACATGCCTCTACCTGCCCCCAAATGCTACTATTCGACTACCCCCAAACACCAACAACCACAAGAGTTTTAAAAATTTACTGAAAGGACCAAATTACAGAGGAAAAAAGAATGTCTGTTAAAAATAGTTGGGAGTTCAGGACAGGTCTGATAAAAAAATATAACTGGCATCTCTACCTAAAAAGTCAGGTTCAAAATATAAGAGTCATAAAAAAGAGCCATTTTTAAGTCGAATACAGCTGAGTTTTATATTTAATTGTGCTCTCTTGCTTTCCAAAATAATTTGCTTTGTGTATGTTAGGACAAAAGATTTCTGTGTATGGCTGAACAGAGGTTAATCATGCATAGAGGCAGCTGCACCAGACCCAAAGAACAGACCTTGGGTGGACGAGAGAGAGAGAGAGAGAGAGAGAGAGACCGACCAATGCCGTCTGAATAAATCAGTACCTGTGTATTTCCTTAAAGAAACACCAACAAAGACAAACGAAGTCTACTTAAAGATTAAAGAGAGACTCTGACTCCCCCCTCCCCCACCCCTGTGTCCATTTTTCTCTCAAGGGAGCCTCCCACCAGTAAAGTGCTCTTCATAAGATTAAATCAGGTCTTCTTTACATGGCCCAGGAGCCTTGCAGATGGTTTAAAGCGAGAATTCTTCTTATGGAATCTTAGGGATCTCAAAACTGACTTTTCTCTTGACTCCATGATAAAGCTTAACACCTTTAAAAAAAAAAAACTGATAGAATTCAATATTATAATGAGATTTTTTGGGTCCATCTCTGACTCTACTCCTAAAAGAAATTAAAAAAAAAAAGAAAAAGAAAAGAAAAAAGAAGAGAATGCAGGAAGAGTAGCAGAAAAAGCACTGCTGAAAAGCACATATTAAATACCCCTCTCTGAGGCAATTAACAACTTGTGAAAGTTGCAAAGACGTAGGTTTCCTGCGAAGCTTTTGTGCCATCAGGAGTGCAACACGTGTGCTGATAAAAGCCTATTACTCTGAATAATAGGAAAGATTGCATTCCTAGGAAGATACTAATCTACGTTATTCTATATATTGTGGAAACCTGACCTTTGGGGAAGCCTTTTGGTTTTGTTTTGTTTTGCTTTGTTTCGTTTTCCTCGAGGGGGGTGGAAAAGAAAAGGATATTGCACTTCCCGAATACGGTGAGATTTCAGACATGTCTTGAAGATCGCCACACTCGGACTTGATGAGCGACAGGGAGAGCCCTTCTGCGGTGCTGGGTGGGTGTGCTGGTGAACAAGGATGGTGGCTCAGGTGGTGGGATGACATCTTGGTCCTCAGACTCGTGGTCTCCCTAGTTAAGTCTAAGGATTCGGGAGAGGCTCTGTCTTTTCCCGAGAAGGAGCCGGAGGGAGCACCTAACGGACTCTGAAATGGGTAGGCCATCAGGGGAAGGGGGAAGGGGTGGCGGAAGGTGGACGTGGTGAAGCCAGCGGTGGCGGAGAGAGGCGACTGGTGCAGGGGCTGGTGGTGGCCGCCGGCCGGGGGGCCGGTGGTGGCCTGGTCGGAGGAGTTTTTGCGGACCACCAGGGGCAGTGCTTCCGTCTGGTCTGTGGAACTGGGCATCTGCACGTTGCCAAAGGTGTCCAGGGGGTTCGGAATGATGACGTCGCCGAAGCACTGCAGGCGCTGGTTGGCGGTGTGGAAATTGTGGTTCTCCCCGTTGACGGCGAATCTGGCCTGGGGGATCTGGAGAGGCGGGAAGACCTGAGGAACCTGGCGGGAGGGTTTGGCTGCAAAGACTTTGACCACAGTGTCCACAACTTGCGACATGGCAGTGTTCAGTTCCTGCTTCAAGGTCTCGGCCAAATGTTTGCCTTCCGGTTGTAAGGAGTTTGGCCCGTGATCTCTCTCTTTGTTGTTGCCTTCACGTTTCGGCTTGTTCTCCGCCAGCTCCTGCTCCCTGATCAGGGCGCGGGCTCGGTCGATGAATTGTCCCGGGTCCAGCTCGCACATCTCGGTGTCTGACCGCCCCACGGAGTCCTGGGCCCTGGCGTCCAGGATCTCCGAGCGCATGCTGTCTTCAGACAGGTTCCCATCTTCATCATTTTCAGAGTCGGTGCTGTCATAGATTTGGTAGAACTTCTCCTGCAGCTGGCGCAGCTGTTTCTGCATGTCCTCCAGCTGCTGCTTCAGCTGTCGGCGCTCCTCTCGCTTCTGTTCTTTTCGGGCTGAAACCAGCTGCTGGAAACTCTGTTGCTGCTGCTGGGGCAGCTTCTGCTTGCGTTTGTTTTCTCTGTAACTTTCTCGGGGACTCACAGACTGCGGGGCCATCTCTCTTTCATTTTCATTGCCCCTTAATGCCACGCTGGGGGAATGGCTCATCCCCCGAATGATGTTCTCAACCCGGGCCCGCTTTGCTCTCAGGTGCTCATCACATAAGCGATCCATGTCGAACTGGCTCATGGTAGGCCTGCCGAACGGGGAAAGACACTCTGGGGGGCTGTCTCTTGAAGAGTTGCTGCATATATCCTCCTGATGCACTTCGGAGCCTGTGCTAGAGAGACCGCTGGCTTGGAAACTGGGCTCCGTGCCACCATTTTTGTTCATGTTATTTTTCAACAGCTGGGAAATTATGGTTGCTCCTGGAAAAGGCATCATGGCATCTTCATACGAGTTTGCCCTCTTCAGCAGCTTGCGGAGTACGTTTGACTTTTCCCCATCTGCATGCTGAACCACAGAATATTCAACATCCTGCTCAGAACCTTGGGGATTCATGGCACTAAAAAACGTTGCTCTTGCCTTAGCAAAAAATGCAGATGCTGTCCCTACCGTCCTTTTCACTCCAATGTCAACTCTTCTCCTCTTGGTCTGCCGGCTTAAGAGGGCTGTGCTGTCATGGTCAGGCATCACTGGACAGCTACTGTGCCATCTTCAAAAGCTCGTCAGCTGGGCACAGCTCAAGAATCCCGGGACCCTGGCCAACAGAACAAAAGGACTGATGAATCATTTTCTTTAAATTTCTCCAAATTTCCTGACCTCAATCCTGAATCAAATGCAAAATGCATAGGCTCTGGGATTTATGGCACATTACAATTATTGCAATTTATTATGCACTCTGCTTGAAATGAAACATTTTTAAATATTTCTGCTCCACTGGTTTAAGATGGATTAAGATTAAAAAAAAAAAAAGCAAAAACTGCTTAAGCACCAGTAATATGATTCTCTTTCACAAATGCCTAAAATGATACTGTTTATCTTGAGAAGAAACAGTAGATTATAAGAACACAGCCTCTGACAACCAATTGATTAAATTTTGGGCATTGAGATTCATATTACAGAAGAAGATGAAAGTGGTCTATACTTAAGAAATAAGGTTCAATTTTGAGGCTGTGGGAAATTTGGATGACAAATTCCATTTCTGAGGTAAAATTATTGTGGTTTTAATGCTATTAAAGGAAAAGGACTTGAAAATAAATGCAAACACTTAACACATCCCCTTTATTGCTGAATTTTAAAATATTTTTGTCATATACGAAAAGGGAAAGAGAACACCCCCATCAGCATCTATCCAATATAAATGGTCAATTTAACATTGAAATAAATGCACAAATACTCATTTTACAAGTCTCCTTATTTAGCATAGATATGCATTTTTATTAGTAAATCACATTCGAAAATGGTATCTGTTGCTATATTTTAACACAAGTGTGAGAATATTTATACATTTCTGTGATGTCCTTTGGATGACTTAAATTATTACAAAGTTGGACTCGCTGCAAAAGAAGGAATTGTCATATTTTAGAAATCGATACGTGGACCAATAAGTTGAGTTAGGCAAGGGTAAATACATCTTTGGTATCAGTTTTCTTCTGTTCCAATCTGCCAAAATAATACTCCAAATGCCTAAGGAAACTTTAACATACACCATTTATGAATCATGTTTCTTATGCAAATGAAAAAAAAAGATAAATAAAGGGAAAATTGGCATCAATCAAAATACAGGAGGAAAGAGCAGTACCTTTTCTGCATATGAACTTCCATTGTTTCTTGAGGACCCATATAAAAAGAGAATATCCTTCCTTGCATTTCATAAAAGGCACTTGACATATTTTGTGACGTATTACCTAGTGAGGCTAGCCCCAAATTTTGTGTAAATATAAGATGTTGTATCTTTTTGCTTACAATTAACATTTTATGAAGAAAATGAAAATATTTTTTTCACACAGGGTTTATCTAATATTAAACTTCACGTCTGCTTAACAGAGCACATCTTCACAATAACAGGGTCTATTGCCAAAGGCAGCGTGCAGAGTGTTTGGAACAGCTCCCATCTCTTTCGGTTCACCTGTAAAAACATCTACGTGCTCCCTAGGACTGCATCTGTGGCTAGTTTTAAAGAATGACTATCCATGCAAATAGGCATAATTTCAGCATGAAATAACCTGTAAAAATCAAGAAAATGCTCAATGCTTAGAGGACAGTGTGTGGGTTTTTAAATCTTTTTTTTTTTTTTTTTTTTTTAAGCAACAAAGATTTCATCCTGCATTCCTTATTCCTGGTCTCTATATGAAGATACAGCATTTTTTAAAAAAAGACTGTTTTAGAGTATCATGCAGGCGATATGATGCTTCTCCATATTTTTCATATGCTTAAAAATGAAATACTTTTTGTATGCCCCAGGATAAAATTTCCTGAAGTCGGAATGGAAACAGATCTTAAGAACTTCAATACAGGTTTCAAAATCGGTTTCAGAATTATTTGGAACCCTCACACATCAGTAATAAAACTGCATTCAGGAATACAAAGATGCAATGACAAATATTTCACTGACATATTAGATCTGATAAATCGGGTGTAACAATCAGATGAGAAAAAGAAAAAGACCGAGACAAACAAGAAAAGGGATGAATTATTTCAAAGCCCAGGAAGACTTGCACATTGGGGGTAGGTCTTTGCAAGGAGGACTTTTTTGTGTGTCTATCAGCTCTCCAAAAATAGAGTTCATTGCCATTATTTAAAAATTTTACCTTTTTTTCTTTTTGTGTGCAAATCCTTTTCTCTTTAATATCACCTGAAAAACACACGAGTCTCCAATCAAAACCTTGAACAAACTTTCTGCAGTCTTTTTCTTCCTCTATTCATCTTAATCTAGATTTTCCTCCTACCTGTCCTTGCTAGGGGAAGAGCATTTCTGCAACTGAGGCTCAGAAATGACAGGCTGGTGTAAGGGATGAGCACAAGGTCATGCCCAGGCATCCTTCCTTTCCCAACTGCCATTTACCTCTGTGTCAACTGCACTTCCTCTCAGCCAGCCTAGGTATCAACAGCTGCATCCCTGCCTCATGCCCAAGCCAAGAAGAGGGCTGTGCTCTTCCTAAGGTGGAAAGACACGATACTCTCATCTTTGGTGGATGGTTAAGTGTGAATTAAACATCCTTGTTGGGTCTTTCAAGAAGAGAACATCCTGTTACTTCCTTCGAATTCACCAAACTAAACTGATTCTTGCAGTCCTCTTTTAACCAGTCATCATTTTTAGATTAGGTAACGTTCTGTTATCTGTTTTAGGCTAAGAGAATTTAAACACTTTTAGGTCTTATAAAATGTTCAGCTGAGATGTAACCAATAAGACAACACAAACAGGAAAAATTGTATATTCCACTAAGACAAGGCATTATATTAATAGGCACAAGTCAATACATCTCTCCATAGAGCTAAGACCTAAAACTAAGACTTAGAACTAAAGGTATCATAGTAGTACATGGGGACCATAACCCATGGAGGCAACAGAGATGAAGCCATTATAACTGCTTGACGTAATACTTCATTAGCATCTTGATTCATAAACAAGATCTCTATGTGAACACATACATCACTTGAGAAAATGCATTGTTACGTGACGCTAACAGAAATTAAATCACTCAAAAACACTCTTAAAGGCGCTTCCATGGATTTCCTAATTCAGAATTTAGAGAATGCTATGCACTGACTTTACCACTGATACCATCCTGTCCATTAAGATGTTTAGAAATTCCCTTATTTCTCAACATCTATACTAAGCCACAAGGTTTCAACTACAATTATTATTGACTCTTATTATATTTTAATCTTAGCATTAATTTTGAGTTTAACCAGGCAATATGAAACCTTTGATCAGCATTTGTGAACACCTATATCAGCAAGTCTGCAGAAAAAATTACTGATATAGAATTTGAACCCAAATGGATCGTCGTTTGGATACACATATTGTATTCCTATAAACTCCTCTGTGATTGGTATGAAAACCTAGACAGAATAGTTCTATTTTTAAATATTTTGCCATACATTTGGTACACAAATGCTTTACTAATTCTTATACAATGAATATCTTGAGCAGATTCCTCCCAGAAAAAGATAAGAACACACATCCGGGTATAATCAAGTCAGCTTGTAACTACTCCAAAAGATTCATTAAGATCTGAATTATCTGAAGAATGTCAGACGATCTAACATGGGGATTCCTAAGGAACCTGGTGGCTTCATGTTAGAAAAGAATTTTCAGTGAAGAATTTCAAAGGAACACTGAAGGAGAAAGTGGTTAAGTGCTCTACTTTACTAAAGAAGTTATTTGGGGGAGGGGAGCACAACTTTTACTGTATCTATCTGGAGTCCAGATTCTGGACAAAGAAGTGTTCATTATGGTAATTATCCAAACAGTTCAGACAAATCTTTTATGAGACAGGGGGAGTGTAAGGTTGGCATCGTTTCCTGTTTGGATCACTTAGATTATCTGTCTTTGTTGATGAAATTATTTGAAGAAATTTCTCAAGCCTACACTTTATTTCCTATGGAAAACCGCCTTTGAATGGGCCTCTAACCTACTTGGGCCAACCTGGTTATGAAATTTCAAGTGGAATATCACTAACAAAGAACATTATAAATCCACCTAAAATTCAGTCATTCAAGGGGGGAATAAAGATCAGATGGTTAGACGGAGGGACTCACCTCCAATACCACCAAATCACTAAGCTACCCTCCTCACTGTATTCTAGAGTTCATTTCTGCTAATTAGCAACTTGCCCTTCGGAGATGTTTCTGCTTATTGTAAGGTTAAGAAAGCGTTTTATGTTTAGTCTGAAGAACCCACTTGACACAAGTTAATACTTCAATTAACTAAGATTGTATTGTCAAATCTTATATCAGGCTTCAAATTTTCCGATCATAAGAGAGTTCTCAAATCACAACCATTTCACTGAAAATCCCTCCATCCTATCAAAAATTCCACACATTTTCCACCTGCACAATGAGCACAGAGTATTTTCTGAGACATGCCAAAAATATTCACTTGTACTTATTTAAAAAGCAGCAATTCACCAAATTACTAAATAAATGATCTCAAGGCAAAACACTTACGCTTTTTCTCTTTTCGTGGAACACTGAAACACTCTAAATGTCCTTTGAAGCATTAGAGTACACTAGGCAGTAAGGTTTGAGAAATTCCTCACGTATATGTCCTTTCCAGTTTATACAGGTACTTAATTAGAATCCAATTATAATAACATGTCACACACAATCCATCTTCATATCATAAAACCACTAACATTTTATAATTTCTTTGTTAATCCTAAACCTAAAAATTCCTTATATTAGAAAATACAAGACAATCCCTTAACTGATATAAGAAATTCATGAAAAAGGCCTATTTGCACTTTGAACAAATAAAGAGCAACCCTGGCAGCTATAGCTCATGTTTTAAGATCGCAAGGGCTCCTTACAGAGGAACCATGTTAGGAAATGAATAAAGTGAGAACAAAGATGCGTGTTACGTATGCATGACTTTTTTTTCCCACAAGGTGGTGATTAAACTAAACAGAATTCTGCATAATGGACACATAAAAAATATCAGTAAGTACCCAGCGCAGATAATCCCCATTAAAAATAAAGCGAATGGACATATCCATAGATGACATGAAAGAACTTCCAAAGAATCCAAGGAAAGTATTGGGGGAGGGACTTGAATGTGTTAAGGCTAAAGAGCAAATACACAGGCCATCGCATTTTCGTGAAACAATGATCACCACCCGAACAGCAAAACCAACTGAGAAAACCATTCGCCCTGTAATCTATTTCTATGGCACACAAGAAGTAGCCTGCTTCAAGAAAAACTTTAGAGTCAAGTTTGAATCATCCAGCCCTAGTGCTTACATTGAATTCTCAGTATCTTCCTGCAACATCAAGCCTCAGGCCTTACCTTCCCCTATTTTACCATTATATAAACAGGTCCACGTTGTAGCATATGGACAGGTTAACCTGAACGCTCCCCTCTTCCCTGCTCACCACACACAGCCCATTCCATTCTGAAAATACTCAGAAGTTCTTGCAAGAAACTCTTCAGAGAGCCAACTGCTTGCATTTGCCTCCAATAGAAATAAGCAGTTACCTCTCACGTACTTGAAATTTTCCTTCTCCATCCAAGTAATAACTAGGACATCTGGCACATGTCTGGTACAATGACAGGCTCATTCTACTTTATGAGAGTATTTAACATCGGACTTGAAAGACTTTGTGCACGTACCTATTCTTTCTGGGCAGGGAGAAAGCACGCTAAAAAGATAAGCTTTAACAACAGTAACACTTTCAAATGACTTTTGGTATCCTGGCAGTTACACACACCACCCGTGGCTGCCCAAAACACACAAGCACACAAAAGACAGCTCTCCCCCACCCCACCCCCCCTTCGGCACCGCAGACCTGGGAGATAGGCATAAACCAGAGAGGGGAGCAAAAGGAAAGTCAATCTCCGTCCACCTGCCGCCTGAGGTGGGGGCGCTTTCGGCTGCCTGGCAGACAGAAGTCTGAGACACAGCCTCAGCCGCAGCCTGCCAACATCCTTAAGAAAAATAAACAAACACAAACCAACTCACCCCCCTCCAGCCCCCAAGCAAAGAACTCCCACGGCAGGGCTCAAAACGTTAACAACAGCCTGGTTCCCATTAGCCCGGACAATCCTGGACAATCCTATTAACCGGGGTGCCCATAAATTCATAAACCTCGGGAAGCCTGGAGCACACATTGTGGTCTGGAACTGCGCAGACACACACAGACACAGAGGAAATTTGCACCTGTCTTTCTTGACACAACACACCTGTCAGGCCCTGCCCATGCACAGCACTCTACTAATAGACCTCTGCCTACCTAGCTTAGGAAAGGAAATTATTTTTTTCTAAGGGAGGTTATAGGTGGGAGGAAAGGAGGGTGGGAGGGAGGGGTTGAAGGAAGGGGGGGGCAGAGGGGAAGAGGGAGAGAGAACAAGACACTTACAGCCTTGACTTTGAGAGAAGGCCACCCTGTGCTTGCACTGTTTTTATAAGCTCAAGGAGACAACACAGACCTTCTTGGAAAAATAAAAACAAGCAGGTGAGTTCCCAGCCTTCCCCCAGGCGGAGTAGGGTTCTGGATTGCCAAGAACAGCAGTTTCACACTCCAACCTGCCTCCTTGGGCTATTTAAGACGGTCGCCCAACCCCTCCTCCTCCTCCTTCTCTGCCAGCCTGGAGGGCTCTCAACTTCCGAAAAGAGCTGAGAAGTGGCGGGAGAAGGGTGAGTCTCGCTGGAAAGCGACTCCCTTCACCCATTCCACGCCCCCCACCCGAACTCCAATCCACACTTCTCACCAACATTCAGTTTCAGCAGGAGTAAGTGGCTAGCCCGCCAGAAGAACCGACAACTTGCTAAACTGGACTTTGGTGATGTCTCCCTGCCAACGCCACCGCCCCCCCCCCACCCCGCGCCCTCCTCCTAGTCTGTTCGGCCAAGATAGCGGCTCTTCCCGCCCTCCTCACCATTCTTCCCAGTAACAATCCCCCTCACCTCTGTTCTCCTCCCTCCCCAGTCCTCCGAACTGGGGCAGAACCGCAGGTACCACCCAGGCAAGACCAGATCCGAGCAGCCCGACAGCGCAGACTGCCAGCGAGCGCGGAGAGAGTCCTCGCCTCGCGCATCCGCAGCGGGAGAACATCCGCTACCCCCACCCGCTCCGCGACCGCTCGGGCCCCCCGCGGCGCTCGGGCCCCCCCCATCCCTGCACCACCCCACCTCCCGAGGCTCCTGCGCCGCCTTACCCAACTCAACCTGACCTAGCCCTGGCTCCTCGGAGCTCGGGAGAGGGGCGCCGCGCGGGTTTCCCGGGACCATCTCTCCACCGCTCCAACCCCGATTTCAACATTTCGGCTTCGACAGCGTTTTGCGAGCAAAGTCACAGAGCGCCCTCCTCCTCGCTCTCCCCTCCTCCCTACTCCCCAGCCCTCTGCTGGGGTTAAAAAGGAGAAGTGAAAGGTATGCAAATGACAAGCAAATTGGAAGAGCCTGGAAGAAAGGCAGCTATAATAAACAAGACAAAGAGAAAGGACGAGGGGACCAGCACCGGAGTTTTAGCCGGGGGAGACGGGGAGGATGAAGCTTGGCGGAAAGCGGGGATCCAGGCGAACAAAAAGCGACCCGGTCCCCCTCGCGGTCCTCTCTCCCGAGGAGGCAGGGCAGGAGAAAGAAGGAAAGGAAGCAGACGCCTCCTCACAGCCCAGAAACAGTACACAAAAGGTGACAAGATCAGCGACAAGTCCAGCCGTATCAGCCACCCCCCCCCATCGCCACCACCACCCCAGCCACCAGCAGGAAAGAGAAAGAAATAAAAGCCAAGCGGATCACTTACTCTTAGGAACTGGGAGGAGCGGAGCGCTGAGTTCTACGGAGGCTCCTGCTTAGAAACTGTTTAGAGCCTATTTTATGACGATTCATTTAAATAACACCATTTTCTCCTGGGGGAAAAAAAAAATGTTTACACGGGTATGAGTAATGGGAGTCTCTTTTCTTTTCTTCCCATTCAAGAACAAGCCAGGACAAGTGATTCTGGAAAAGGGGAGGGGACTGGCGAGGGGGAGCGGATACTTACGCGGTGCAGAGGGCAGGGGGACCGAGCGCGGTTTCGCCGGCAGGGAGAGGAGCACACGCGCGCGCACACACGCGGCGGTGTCTCGCGGGGGATGAATGTGATAATTGGACCCGGGCCGGTGAGTGTGCGCGAGCGGGGCGAGCGGGGCGAGCGGGCGACGGAGAGGGGACGGAGGGAAGGGTGGGAGGGGGCAGGAGAGGAGAGGAGAGGAGCAGAAGAGAGGGAAGAAGAGGAGGCGGAGGAGAGCAGGGAGGAGCGGAGAGAAAGGAGCGGAGGCGAGAGGAGCGGCGGAGAGGGGCCGAGCGGAGCGGGAGCGGGCGGCCCGGCGAGAGCTCTTTTGCGCCGCGGCGCTTCCCCGGCTGCAATGGTGTATGATTTCAGAGCGCTCCCTCAGCTGAGGGCTCCGCTCCACAACAAGATTTACTTTAAGACACAGCTGAAGGAAACAGGAAGACTGCACGTCACAGTCTGACTGACGTACCCGGCCCCAGCACCCAATCGCGAGGCGCCTTCGGATTCAAGGGGGGATAGCGAGGCAAGAGAACTTGGGAGGAAAAAAAAATATATAAAAGGGGTGGGGGTGAGGGGCTGGGAAGAGAGGAGGGGAGAGGGGCCCCGCGCTCCCCCTCCCCCCGCCCCCATCCCCGGCCCCCACCCCCGCCCCCGCCCTGCCACCGCTTCGGGGCGACGGGATCGCCGCGCCGGGGCCGGAGCGAGCCATCTGCGGGCACTGTGCAAAGCGGGCGACGGCGCGAGCGGCGCTCGGCTCACACTAGCTCGTCCAGGACGCAGGTCCTTCCCCCCCCCACCCCCCTTCCTTCCCCAGATACGGCTGATCCAGTTCCCCGAGTGGCCGAGCGTGGAGCGGACTTGGGTGGAGGAAGACACGGAAAAGTGTACTGGAGAAAAAGTGGGGCTTTAGGGGTGGGGTGGTCTAGGAGGAGGGAGCGGGGTAGCTCAAATCGTTCCATCTTTTAAATGATCATAGATAGTATCAAGAATACATGTCACCCTTGCTTCCTTTTAAAGGCGAGGTGGACAATAAAATACAGGTAGGTTTGGGATTAAAATCATGGGTGCCAGAGGTTTCCCTTGGGCTCCGCTGCATCTGGTAGCCGACCAGTATTGGCTGACTTCCAGTTAATCTCCCGTCAAAATTATTAGGAATATGAGTATTTGCCCTTGGTTATTTGGGTTGTAGAAACAGCAGCCTTTTTTTTGAGGGGGGGGGGAAATCTTGCAAACATTACCTCGCAATTACCCCGCACTAACTCACTCACCCCAGAATGACCAAAGAGAGAGGTTTCATATAGGAGTACACAGTTTTGACGCCTGGGTAACAAACTTTGAAGTTTATTAGGTAAGAAATTTCAAATGCTTAAATTTCGGGCTTCAACATAAAGCTATAGAAAATTCACTTTGGTTTGACATTTCTTGGATGAAAAATAACTGGCAAGATTTCTTTAGATAATGTGGCTCTTAAAGAGCTCCTTGGGGTTTTGCAACTTACAAATGCTAAAGGGCATTTCTAGCCACAGCCCGAACGTGTCTTTCACCGGGCACCCTAAACGGCTTTTAATAAAGCAACCGTGTTTATGTCCTAAAGATCCTATAAAAGCCGGGACTTACAAGGGCTGCGAAGCAGAAACATTCATACCTAGTCGATTACACACTCAGTTTTTAGGTAGGATGGGGGCAAGTACTTTTTGTATGTTCCTCGAATTCAGGCAGATCAAAGGTTGAATGACTTTGGGACAACAGTGTTTATGAGCTATGTTAAAAGTACACTGGCGGACAACTACCACCATCTTCGGCAACACACACACACCTCTTTCCTAGGACATTTACAAACGCAGCCTCAAATTCATCAGACTGTGAAGAAGTCTTCTCTTTGAATAAGAATAGAGATGATAACACGTCTGAGACTATACCCTGTAGGAAACTTTTGGCACGGGATTCAAACATTGAAAAGAAGGGGGGAAAAATCAAGCTGGCCAGGGTAGGTGTCAGGGATAAGAAAAGAGACTTGCTTGAGCATCCCCAGCCTTCATTCCTCCCCTTCCACCACCCCCAGACACTCCCTCCACACCATTAGGGAAACCACACAGACGCACACAAACACACCACTCACACTTACAATGATCGGCTATTGTATCAAGTGTTGTAACCGGGATGTGACAATTTAGGCTGGGAACAGAAATAATCTATCAACGTGCCCATTAGATACAGGATGGAATAATGCTTCTATTGGTTGGGTCCTTTCGAGGTAAGCGGGTGTATTGAGGGAGGAAATGTGCGTTCTGTGAATGGATCAAGGCTACTTCCTTTCTTCTTTTCCGTCCTATTATTTTCTTTAAGTATCCCAGTTTGTACATATGTTAGCGCCAGCCGACAAATAAACTGGTAGGAGTCAAAGATATATGCCCTCCATACCTTAAAACCATCTGCTCAGTTTGACATTTAAAAGGAAGGAGGGCAGGGAAGGAGGAGGAGGGGGGGGAGGGGGGAGAAACGGAGCCCAGGGACAGAAAAGATTCAGAATCTGGAAGGAAATGGCTTGAACTTTAGCCCACAAGTTATGTCAGTTGCACCTAGCGCTCGGATGCACGTTTTGCACACTCTACGCCCCGGAACTAGCGGCAGGAAAAGTTCCCTGCGAACCCCAGGAACCCTTCTGTCACTCCCTGGGGAAGGCAGGCCTGAATGGAAGTCGGGGTAACCCGCTTGGCAGACAAGGAAGCCCCCCCCCGCCCCCGCCAACGCTGCGGAGGCTCGAGGCTCGCCGCGCTCTGCCGCTGCAGTTCGCAGCCCGCATTAGGGCTCAGGAGCGGCTGGTTGAAATAGGAGCGCGCGCGACGCTGGGCATGCGAGCTCGGTCCGCAGCCCAGCTCCGTGAGCTACGTACGCGGAGCCCTGTCCTGTCCCCTACCGTCGGGGCGATGTACAGGCCGGGCTCCTGGCAGCCTCTCTTGCCCAAGCTGCGGCGCTCTCTCAGGTCTTGGGCCGCCCAAGAGCAAGGCGTGAGGCCCGAGCCCCCTATCTCTGGCGACTCCCGGTTTGTTTTCTGATAGGGGAGAAGCGATCGGTCAGGTCGGAGCCGAGAAGTCGCCTAGATATTGGCTCCATCTCTGCAATCAGGGGCCAAGCCTAGGGTCAACCCCTTCCTCCGCCCATTGGCAACACAACCCCAATACCTTAAAAGTTAACACAAGTTCTGACCGGTCTTCCAACAAACCTCATCCATGCAGACTGCATTTACTTATTTATGGGAAGGGGATCTGCAGTGAGTTCTTAGTCAAACTCTTGCAGTTACCACTTAATGCATCTGGTTCTGGGTTAAACACACTTTGCTTTGACGTTTCTTCGGTGTATTTCGGCCCCCCTCCACCGTTCTTTCTTAAAGCCCTTAGACGAAGGAGGGAGGGAAGATGGCACATAAAAAATTTAAAACCTTACAAAGGACCGTCATCAGATCCTAAACAAATAAATTCCGGGAATTTCAACTGGATCCGGCACAGAGGCCAATGTGAGCGTGGATTTCGGGAGAAAGATGCTGAGGATCCCTACCTGGACACACAAACACACACACAACCATCCACTCTCCACCACCACCACCACCGCCACCACCCTGAAGAGGAGAAGAAAAAGAAAGAAAAACCAAGTCCAGGGTGCAGGCCGGCCTGCTTCCGGCTGTCGAAGGGCAGTCTGACCGCCATTCTCTCACCCCCCACCCCCCTCTATCTCCTGTGCCCAGTGTGACTCCAAGCCCAACCTGGACCTGTTCTGAATTGGGGGGGGGGGGGGTAGAAATGCCACAAGATCAGTAGCAAGTAGCAGC